TAGCCGGGCTCTGTGGCTCAACCTGTAATCCCGCGCCTTTGGGAGGCTGAGGTGAGTGAATTGCCTGAGCCCGTGGGTTCGAGACCCGCCTGGGCAGCGAGACCTCATCTCTACAATAAAAAAAAAAAAAAAAAAAAATCAGCTGGGCGTGGTGGCGCATGCCTGTACTTCCGGCTACTTGGAAGGCTGAGACGGAAGGATCGCTGGAGCCCAGCAGGCCGAGGCTGCGGTGGCCGGGAGCGGCCACTTCACTCCAGTCTGGGCGACAGAGTGAGACTCCAACTCAAAAAAAAAAAAAAAAAAAAATGGCAATTTTAGATTTTTATCTTTGTAAACTTTAAGTGATCTGAGTCAGTAGCTAATCTAGTTATTTCTCAGTACATCATAAATTGAGCATAATAATGAATGACATAATTTTCTATGCTATTGTTAAATGCTAATATCTCTTTTTACTCATTTGAGTCTATAGATTCATATAAAATTGCCAAACTGTCATTTTGAATATCTTAATTCAAAATCTGATTATCTATGTCTTAATCCATTCAGTTTGCTACAATAAAATACCATAGACTGCTGGTTTACAAAGAATAGAGATTTATTTCTCTCAGTTTTGAAGGATGGATGTCCAGGATCAAGGGGCTGACAGATTCGGTGTCTGGTGGAGGGTTGCTTTGTAGACAGCTACGGTTTTGCTGTAACCTCACATAGCAGTACAGGGGATCTTTTCTGCAGTCTCTTATAAGGGTGCTAATCCACTTTCAAGACTTAATCATTTTCCCAAATCTCCACCTCCCAATGCCATCACTTTGGGAGTTAGGATTTCAACATATGAATTTCAGGAGAAAGAAACATTCAGACCATAGCATTCTGTTCGATAAATATATAAATTGTAACTATTTTCATATTAGAAATACTAGTACAAAAATTATATTTTATACGCTTCTCAAAAAGAATTGCTTTACATAGGAATAATATTCAGTAATATACAGAATCCTTATTATAGATACACAATATATATTATATAATATAAGAAACTTAATAAGGTATCATCTTTTTAGACCATCATAGGTTTGTTAGGGGACCTTGTAGTAGGATTTAGGAAGGTCCTAATTTCTAACAAATTTACAGCAAATATATTTTCTTGGTGCTAGAAAATAAAAATTCAGTCAGCCGTATTTCTGTTTGCTAACAGTTTCTTCCAGCCATGTATTGCCAAAAATGATATTCTGTATTATAGGGTGATTTGTAATATTGTTTAGTATAACTTTCACTGGACTTTGTGGCTACGATGAACCCAGTAGGGGACATTCATAATAACTGTCTTCTCTTTTAGTTTTTCCTCTCTTCCCACCTATTACTGCAGACAGCTGAATGGGAGTCATGTCTTAATCTCTGTCACAATTTAGCTTTTCCTGTATGATCTTGCTTCTGTTGCTATGGAAATAATTATAACATCGCAATTTTGGTAATAAAACCAGAGTGTGCTACAGTGGAATTACATTGGCTAAAACAAAGTAGAATGAATCTCTCTCTCTGTCCCTGTCCGAGTCTCCTAGGCTTTGGGACATTCTTTTCCCCTCATTGTATTTACTCATATTTCTAATCATACAATTCAATCTTTCTCTGATGACTTAATGCAAGATCTTTAGTGCTTCCAGGGCCTAGAAGTGGAAATGTGAGCAAATGTAACAAGTGGACACAAATTATTTACACTGATTTCATATCAGATAAAGAAATTATTTCAACACTGTGGTGTAACCATTTCCAAATAGTCTTCTATAACTAATAAATATAAAGTTCAACATTTAAAAAAATCCACAATAGCTTTCAGTCTTTCAGAGCTTTTCTGCAATATTTCTAAAATTGCCACAAGTCACTTGAAGAAAAGAGAATCTCTCTAGCCAATTAAGGTTACATTAGGTCTACAAGTGAGTTTTAAGATAGAAATTGCTTGGCTTTCAAACAGGGCCAACTCAGAGCCACAGTCTTATAATCTTTGCAGTAGCAGGTAGTGTGTTTTGACTTTTTAAAAACTTTGAATAAGTAACTTTAGGGAGGATAGTGGGTAAAACAGTTAATAACTCTATGCCTCCATTTTTCCATCAACAAATAATTTCTTGAGAATGATTGCCATTCATATATTGCCTTTTCTCTACTAAGTAAAAGACTTATTTATTTAGAGTGATAAAAGAAAGCTTATTTTTTTTATTGTTTATTTGCCAAGCAGCACCACAAAGTGGTACAAAGTATCAGAATCATTCCTATTTAAAATCTAGCAAAGTGCCTCCGCCCTCATCAAATAATTAGTAAATCTAGAGACCAAAGATGGTCCTAGGTAAAATTAAGTAGCCAAATTGATTTTGGAAGCACTTTGACCTTTCCTCCCCGTCTGACTTCCTAAATTATTATTTCTACCTATGCCCCCAAATAAACTATTGACCTCGCCAGCCCTCCTTCCCTAGGTATTTTCCCTCATTCTAGACCTTTCTCTTTTCTCACTGAATCTGCTTACCTTTATTTTGGATCCTCTGTTATCTTATGAAGTGACAAGCTAAGCCAGATCTTGTCACTATACTACTAAAACCTGTAGTGTTTTCCAACTCACTTAGAAAAGTAGTCAAAGTCCGTAAAAACTCTACACAGTCTTGCCTCCCAAGACCTGTGCTAACCTCATCACTTACTGTACCTCTCTTGGGTACTGGCACACACCATTCTTTTGTCCTGAACTTCTCTCCCCACAGACACTCAAATTGCCGGCTCCCTTACCCCTTCCATGTCCTTACCTCCTCACCGCGACATTAGCTAATCTACCAGTTAAAAATGGAATGTTCTCTCCACCAATCATTTAGTCACATCACTTAATGACTTATTTTGTTCCATAGCATGTATCTTCATAGGACATATTATATATTTGATTCATTTGTCTGTTTATTATTTGTCTACACCTTTCCCCAATATAACCTAGTAAGTAAGCACCATTAAGGTAAAAAATTATTTTCTACGTTGCTGTTTTATCACTCCCCTGCATCTAAAACAGTCACTGGAATATGATATTAGCTCAATAGATGTTTACTGAATAAATAGTGAATGGACCCTAAACAAAGGGCAGACAAAATTCTTTTGTATAGAATAGCATATGTGACCAAACGAGGACACTTAGACTCCCTTAAACACACACACACACACACACACACACACACACACAGTCATTGGTGCTCAGGTTTGAGGCTGACACATTATGATGAGGTAGAGACAGATCTGTAAGAAGCCAAAGCCATCTGCCAGCTGGGGATATGAGGAACGACAGAATACGGAAAAGAAAAAGCCAGATGACAGAAAGATCTGGAACAAATATGTCCCAGGAAAGTATAGCTATCCAAATCAAGGACGAGCATTAAGTCAATGAGGGGCACATGGAGGGGGGCCAGTCCCAAGGATACTACCTTTTTAAAAAAAGTCACTCTAGTTAGACTTCATCCTTACTACCAGAAAGGCTTAGATAGGACCACCATGCTGGGGTTTGATGGCAGGTGTCTTTTTAAAAGAAGTTTGTTTCCCTAGCTGATACATGTCTGGTAAAGAGCATTTCAGGTAGTGTGTGGAGAGGATAGGGAAGAGAAAGTTTTGATTCCCTAGTCTGTTAACCCTTCTAAGTCACAGATGTAAACCTTTTTTTTTTCTATCTTAAAGAACCAGTTCAAGTGAGAATTTAAATTACCATGTAATCTAAAAATTGTTCCTTTAACTTTGGAAGCAAAATGAACAAGGAAAAGAAAATGAGAAATATAAAACCTAATGGTATAGAAATATAAAACCTCATTCTGATTATGAATGAGGTATTGGCCAGAGTTAGTAAACTCTGGGAACTGGGAAAGCATGGAGCCAAAATGACCTGGACCTGAAAGCAGCCTCACCCTTTAGCCTGGGCATGCATTCTCTAGTTCTCTACAGTTCACACTACTTACTATTACTACCTACTTTCTCTTTGATTGGGAGGCCACTTATTATGGTGTTTATACTATCATTTTCCTTCAGGTGAAGTATTTCTTGGTACACTTGTTACAAATAACAGTAGACAAAAGAAAAGACTAAGATGACTTCATGATTTTATTACTCTGACCCAATTTACTCATCAAGGTTACCTGCCACTATAGGAATTTGTTTGCAACCCATGATCCCCTTCACTGTTTCTCTATATACCTATGAAGAAATTGCTATTCTCAGAGATTTAATGACTCATTTACAAATTTTAAGACATGCATCAGGCTCCATCTGACTGGCTTTCACTGACCATGTTGATACAGAGAATGAAGAGACTTAAATTAATATTTTATCCAGCAGAAGATTTAGGGACTGTGGTTTACCATGTATAAAATCTGTTCAGCCAGTCTCCTTGGCATAGGACTCAAGTATTCCCTGTAGTACTGCTGAATTGATAGGGAACGTGATAAGGCATTTAAATTCTGCAGGTATAGCCATTCCTAGCAAGCAATTTGATTTTTGATGGACAAAGAGCCCCAGGAAAGTTGATGCCTTTATACCTGAGAAAAAAAGAAATCTCAAGCAAGATAGACATACCCTAATCGGTATGCCCTGGGTATGACAGCATGCAAGTGAGTGATCTATTTTGTTTTGAACTCTGGCTCTGTCAATGACAGTACACGATTTACTAGAACAAATCAAATAAATGTATTTGACTCCTATTTTGACATTTCAAAACACTGAACCATATTTTTGTATGCAGCATACTTATTCATCTTAATTTTGACTTTTTCCTTATAAGACACTGTTGTCAGAATGGGAACGAAAGTAACAATGAATTAGGGTAGAATTGTTTTCAGTGCTTTTGAACATCATGTGAGGAATAATTTCTGCATGGATATGATAATGTGGTATGTGTGGTTCAAAGAGTTACAGACCCCCAGAATGACTTTGAGACCTTGACTATGCAATCAGGAGTCAAACATTTCAGTGCTCCAATGCTCCCGTTCCTGTTACAGGTACATGTGACAGTGCTGCAGCTATGAGTGGAATTTTAAAGGGGAAGTTTGAAGAAGTTGACGGCTCCTCGCCCTGCTCTTCTGTGCAGGAATCAGATGATGAAGTTTTTAGCTGTGACAGTGCTGAGAGTGTTGATAGTGTCAATCCATCCACTTCTAATGACTTTACCAGTGAGTATCTGAAGCTGTATTTTAGGCTGTGCTCCACGGCCCATTCTTGGGGGCTTTAGTTTATCCACTGATGCATATCTGCTCCTAAGTTCGTCATTAGACTGAACATATTTGCAAGATGTGATATCATTTTTGTTCATTAAATCTCATCAGTATACTTCTGTTCCTCTCTCTGGCATAAGTATAGAGAAGGAAGAAATGAGTTCAATTGGAGGTAAGCAGATAGTAATTGAAAATGCTAGCATGTATCTTCAGCTTTCCAAAATAGATTTATCTTTTGGAAATCTAATCAATTGAGCCATTTTGAACTTGTAATTTTGGTCAATGAGTTGTAGAATATTTGAAGCAAGTGCAACACGTTTACTTACTAGATGAGAAAATAATGTTTGTTTTAAAAAGAGTACAGCTGTGAAATCAAGGCCTTGAACAACTTGGGACTCTATAGTTGCTTGGACACAGGTAAAACTCAAACTCAAGGTCAGGTTCATGCACTAGAGTAAGGATAGTTTTCTCCATGTATATACTTCTTCCAAGTGAACAAAATCTATTGAGGTTTAATGTTAACAAAATTATTTAGCTTAGTATGCCATGTTCTAACTTAAATTCTGCTCATTTTCAAATTGCATTAATTGTAACAGATGCACACATGAAGGTTTTGAAACAGGTGAACCTTTTCTAGTATCTGCATGCCCATTCAACCTCAAACATTAAGGGAAAGAGAGCTCAAAATTATTTTTGGAAGAGTTAACGTACAAAGCAAAACTAAATGAAGTAAATGAAAGCCCCATATCCACACTCACCCCTCATGAGGTGATGGGTATATAAAGTTTTAGAAAAGTTTTACAAAGGTAAAAATTATCCAGTACAAACAGTATCATTCAAGAAAGGTTTGTTCTCACAATAGTTTTTTCTAGCATTTTGGGGGGATATTCTATTCTGAATTCTATTTTTTAACCCTCTTCCCTCTCCCCTAGGAATTCAAAATTTTATTGGGTATTCATAATTCTCCCCATCATTGTCAGGATAATTTAAAATAAAAATAAATAAAATTTTATCAGAATTTTTAGCTTTTATATTATTTATATCTTGAATGAAGTAGAACTTTTGAAAATGAACTTGTAGAAAGTATAAAAAGTAAGGAGGAGATAAAGGAACACTTGGTGGTAGGGAGAAAGCAATAACTGCTTTGAAGATAAGATTCTCCAGTTGTATGGAAAGGTTATTGCCAGATAGTGGATTTTGGAGGGATGAGTTTAATTTGAGATTCGTCTATAGCCTTTGACACCCCCTTCCAAGTGACTGTAATCTTTTGGAGGGCACTGATACTGCCCTTTACATCGAGCTGCCACCTGTGGTGCTTAGCAGAGTACTGAGCATTTGATGATGCTTGCAACTGTTTTTTGAGTGAACGGATTAACTACGGATAAATCTTAAAATTTGGGGAGAATGAGTTTACTAGCTGTCCTTATCCTTAGAAAAGCAATAGTACATATTTAAATTCAAGACCCTCAGGAACACACTATTAATACACTTCCTGTGTTCTTTGGAGAGCTCTCCTTTTCCAAACCCTGGAGCACTGCAGGAACTGCCTAGAATTTCTCAATATTTTTTCCTTTTAACCACTTCTAAAAAACATCAATCTAAAACCCTCTTTCTTTGAGGTACCACCTCACCTAGTAGTGCAATCAGCATTTTTCCACACCCCTGTGTTGTAATTGAAAAAAAAAAACCTCCTTCATGCTTACAAACTCCTTGGTGTCTATGCCTTTCCTAAGGTTACAAATGGGTTCTCTCCTGGAAAAATCAATTGCAGGACTTCTCTATGCAAGACATTTATTGATTTCCATAGCTTGTGAGTTCACAAAATGCCTATAATGTTCATTTAACACCATCAGGTCTTACAATGATGGCTTAAGATGCTTTCCAGATGAAAGTAATGTTCTGGTGGTTTAGGGAGGTTTGAAAAATTATGGGTCAGGTGGGAGTTCTGAGCACCTGAATAGTTTCCTGGCAGGGTAAAAGTTCTAGTACAGAGTGCTTTTATTTTTATTTTATTTTATTTTTTGAGTTGGAGTCTCACTCTGTCGCCCAGACTGTAATGCAGTGACTGCTCCCGGCCACCGCAGCCTCGACCCGCTGGGCTTCGGCGATCCTTCCGCCTCCGCCTTCCAAGTAGCCAGAACTACAGGTGTGCGCTATCACGCCCGGCTAATTTTTTTCGATTTATTGTAAAGATGAAGTTTCACCAAGTTGCCCAGGCGAACCCGCGGGCTCAGGCAATCCACTCACCTCAGCCTCCCAAAGTGCAGGATTACAAGGCTGAGCCACTGAGCCCTGCTGAGTGCTTTTATTTTTTAATAACTGTTTTGATATATGGTCCTAACTATTCTGTTTCACCACCATTACTATAGTCTTTAGAGGAGAAAACATGTCTCCACTCTGGTATGAGTAGAAGTCTTAGACTATTAAAAAAGGGAGATACAAGTTGGGCACAATGGCTCAAGCCTGTAATCCCAGCACATTAGGAGGCGAAAGCAAGAGGATTGTCTCAGCTCAGGGGTTTGAGACCAGCCTGAGCAACATGGCGAGTCCTCGTCTCTACAACAAATAAATAAAAAAAGTTAGCTGGGCGTGGTGGCATATTCCTGTTGTTCCAGCTACTCGGAAGCAGGCAGAAGGATCACCTGAGCCCAGCAGGTTGAGGATGCAGTGGCTGTGAACATACCACTGCACTCCAGCCTGGGTGACAGAGTGAGACTCCAACTCAAAAGAATAAAAAATAAATAAATAAAATAAAATAAAATTTAAAAAGGAAGGCAAATGCAAATGTTTAATTTTTCTTTTTCAGCAGTACTGTTAATGTACTTTTTCTTGTGAATTTTTAAGAGTTTTGTGGGAAACATTTGCTGATACTCTGATACTCCTCTGTAAAGGAATGGTATATGCTTCATTGAACAACTTGTAATTGAGTGTGTGATCAAAACCATGATCTGGAATAATAGTGGGAGAAGGGGTCAAGAAGAAGAGATAGTGATATGACCTATGGAGGACTTTCTGTCACTTTGGGTTACTCTTAGCCTCTTCACAAATACAAAACCTTATTACATATTTTATTAAGTTGAGCAGATGAAAAAAGAAAACCATGTTAGTTTTTTTTTTTTAAAGAACATCCAATGCTCTGTATTTAACCAAGTAAGACAAAATCAACAGTAAAGAATCAAGCCTCATTTTGAATTCAAAGACTGAGTAGGGCCTTTTAGAGCATCTAGGCTGACTCCCTTATTTTACAGATGTGGAGACTAAGGTCCAGGGAGAGTAACTTGACAAGAATCAAAATGTGAGCTGGTGGCAGAGGACTTTAATGTAGATCCTTAGAGTCTACCTTTCTACTAGACCATACATCTCTCTGAGGGTTCAGTTACAAGTCTGACTACTAAGTAGAGGGACACAAATCATCAGGTAAAAGACATGGCAATATGTTTTTTTAATGCCAGATTTTCTTAGAAATAGAGTGAATCTCTTTTGGTAAAAGCATTCAGCATCTCATCTCTTATTGCCTTTTTTTTTCCAATTGATTTCTGATGAAAGTGCTTGCATGTCCTGGCTGTAGGATACTACCAATAGTGAGTTTATGAACAAATTCAGTGAGCTAAAAGAAAGAGTGGGCAGAGAATTCAATTTGTGTGTGGAAGAACATTTGACTTCCCTTTTCTGTAAGTAAGTGACAGGGCAGACGGTTGAGACTTTCCTTGTATGTCATTGACATTGATGGAAATATCTTTCAGCAAACATGTTGTTTTACATTTACATGAAGGAAATTGGTTTGTCTTGGTGACATAATGCTAGTTGTGATAACATGAAAATGTTGCAATGAAAAGTAGGTGAGATGAAGTATGCAGTTTAACAGCAGTGAACAAATCAAAGGTTATTTCATTTACTTTAAAAGTAAAACCTTTACTTTAAAAGTAGAACCTTTCTATATTTTCCTTTTGCCAGGATGGCATCTTGGACTATCTGAAAAAAAAAGATAATATCCTTCTATCTCTTGAACTCCAGAACCTTGCAGTACTTGTTCAATAATTCAAGAATTCAGAAACCTACTTACCTTGCATTTCAATTAGATTCGCTTAGTCACAGCTTCTAACTGAATTTTATTCAATTTTTCTGGCTAGGTACAGAGTTGGATTTTATATTTGCTTTTTGTTTTAATTCCTGAAAAACTTCATTTAAATTTGACTTAAACTTAAAAGCACAATTGGATTAAATTTCAAATAGAATTTTATTTGTCTATAACAGTGAATCAAGAAGACAAAAATCATATGGTTTTCACTCTCAATTAGCTGTTAGGAAAAACTAAATATAAAGTTGTCCTAGTGTCGTTAATGATATTGTCTCTCACATCATTTGAAGAATATGGCTTTATTAGCATACAAACCAAAAAACATCATAGAAAGTCTCCCTATTTCCCACATCTATTATTTACTCAGGATATTCATAGGTGGAATTGATACTGTAACTGTATTTCTTAAGAGCATAAGAATTAAAGTTGCTATTAAATATTAAAGACATCATCTTCACATTAGTGATCAAAACATTTTCATCTGACAGTGCAATTTATTTACAGACAAATCTTAAGAGAGTTTGCATGTTATGAACTTCTTGATAGAGAATCACCCCCTGACTTTGGGGTCATCTATGAATGGTCACAGGCAATAAATAAATGATTGCCCAACTGTAAAATATCATGATTTGAAACATGGATCCAAAAAAATTCAGATGATTAAAATTCTACCTACTATCTTCAAAGTATCATTATATTCTGGCTTTGGTCTGAACACCAAAGATTGTCTCGCTTTATACTTGTTTATGATAGTGATGGTGAAATCAGTGCCTGAAGCAAATGTCCTTGTGTTTCTCAAAAGATTTTAAAATGCACTGTGCATATCAGGCAGTCTGATGCTTTCTGACAGCTTGGAGGAAGTCTATTTGTGTGCAAGTAA